ACATAAATGTGGGCGGGTTCACGCGCATCGTCCAATTTTGAAAGCGGCTCCTACATAGCTCTCTTGTATCATTCTGGGTATCGCGCTTTTAGTAATTTTTAACAAAACCGTTATATGGTAAGAGGGCGTTCACACACACAGTTCCAACTGTTGGTAGAAGTTTTTAAAGGATTTGTCTTAAGTGAATTTGGTTATTGTAACTTAAGTGGTTTAGAATATATGTACATTAAACTTATAGATGGCGGGGCCACGCCCTTTTTTTCAAAATTTTTAGACCACAGGTGCTTTTCTTTGCCGAGGAACACGCGTACCAAGTTTCATTAAAATATCAGAATTTTTACTCAAGTTATAGCTTGCACAGAGAGACGGTCAGACAGTCACTCGGATTTCAATTCGTCTCGTCATGCTGATCATTTATATATAATATACTTGTAACCCTAGAGTCTACAAATATTTGAGAGCTATAGCTTTGATCGATTTAACTCAAATATTCTGGTTGCACGATTTCTTATCAAAATGAAAACAGAGAAACTCAAACGTCACAATTAGCTGAGCAAGCGGATGGAAATGGAACAAATAAATTACGAAGGTATTGAAAATCTAATAACGAAAAGAAAGAAATCCAGGCCAAACATGCCAACGGCATGAAGTAATTGCAATTAGCTAAGTTGACGTTCGTGTTGAACCTGAGCCGGGCGCCATTGTTCATTGAGCCAGCATCGAATCGAAAAGTACATTCACTATGAAAACGAGAGAAAAATTAAAAATAAAAATGCATTTGTATATAAAGCTGGTGATTTCGCAAATCTTAGTCAAATACCAGCTCAGGCCCATAAGATACTCATTCAACACGTCAAAAGCCAGACTTTTATAAGCATTTGCTGCCGATCGAGCAAACCACGTTTTACATACATTCAAACACATGCAGTCATTCGTCTATTTACATGAACTCAATCTGCTGGCATGCATAAATAGTCGAAGAATTGATTAGAAATCGCCGGTTGAAAAGCTGGCTCGTCGAGCGTCAAAGAAAAAGAAAATGCGGTTGGGTGTGTGCATGTGGTTATTTACACCCATTTGGATCAAATATCTGGCAGCATCGTAACCATTTGCGTGGATTTGTTGATTAACTGATCTTTTGATTTGCACGTACCCGGCGATATCGACATACATACCTAGACATCTCTTACATATGAAAGTATATATGTACTTATATGACTGATGCATTTGTAGCTCATTGCCTATTTACGTTGGCGTGTGCGCTCAATAAATATTTGTATTTGTGCTTTCTTCATGCTTCATTCAATTAAAAATATTTAGAATGTTTCACAAGTCTTGACCATTAAACAGACGACGCGGCGAACTTTGTATCTTCTAATACGTAGGTTGCTTTTTTTATTTCGGAATTTGGCAACCCTAGTGTTGCAATCTGGCAACTCACAACTTTATCGTAAAGTTTGACATTATTAATGTCATACAAACACAAAACGTTTTGACATACGAGCGCTATTTGTGTACTTTACAGTAACTTGAAATATTCATTTCGGCCAAAAAATGGAATTAAATTACGAATATTTTCGCGCGATTATTTTTTACAACTAAATTTTTTTTTTTTTTTTTATGTTTTTGGGTCGCACTGCCTAATCGATCGATAATAAACCGGAAAGTATTATTCTTATTCTTAAATAAACACGTTTTAGTTAGAAAAAATATTTTTGTTATAAAACGGCACGGTGTCCTTATTAAATCGCACCACCGTATGCTGACCTTGTTGAACACAAAATGGCTTTTTAGGAAGTGTGTCCAAATAATTTGCATTTTTCCAACGAAACTTGTTTATATAAATAATGAGTGACAAGAAGATGCCGTTAGCTGGCGGCAATTGTCAAGGCTTATTAGAAATGTGTTGTAGTTTTGTTTTTATGCATCTCTGTTCTTATTATTTTTCACATAACTATTTTTATTCGTATTCATAAAAAATAATACGTCAAAGTTCCAATAATGAGGAAACTATAAACTGATCATAGTTTTTGAGATATCGCTCCAAGAAGTTGCTCATTTTATCGCATCTCTATTACATACCTTCTGCTCAACGCAAAACGAGACTTTATCCATAACTCGACAAGGACATGACATATGGCCAAACTTTTTTTTGCTTAGGTTGCCAACCTACTGGACTGTTATATGTTTACATGTCAAATTTGAGCGCGATCTGTCACATAGTTTTTTTAAGGCACTATAAACAAGTCAACCTCGAGTGTGTTTTTCGAATTTTAATATGGAAATTAACGTTGAGCAAAGAGTTTGTTTGAATAAGTGCGACGGACGCAATGAAAATGTTGCAGAAGGCATATGGGGAGTCTTGCCTATCACGTGCACGTATTTTTGATTGGTATAAGTCGTTCAAGGACGGCCGTACATCGCTGGAGAACTTGCCCCATGATCGTCGCCCAGCAACGTCAATAAACGAAGAAAACGTCGAAAAAGTAAAGAAAATTGTGTTGGAAAATCGTCGTGTGACTGAAAGAGAGATAGCTAGTGAGCTCAACATATCAAATGGATCCGCTCATAGCATTATTCACGATGTTTTGCGCATGAGACGTGTGTCTGCTCGACTTGTTCCAAAATCCAGCTCATACGTCTCGTCTTGTACGCGATTATTTGACCAAAATCAACGTAAATATTGTTCCGCAAGCACCGTATTCACCCGACATGGCACCGTGTGACTTTTTTCTTTTCCCTAAACTCAAATTGCCGCTTCGTGGAAAGCATTTTCAGTCGATTGAAGTCATAAAAGAGAATTCGAAGAAGGAACTGAAAGCCATACCTAAAGTGTTAGGAAGATTGGAAAAAAAGGTGGCATATGTGTATCGCCTCTAATGGTGACTATTTTGAAGGGGATAAAATAAATACTGAAGAATAATTAACCGTTTTTGTTGTTTGAGCCAGTCTCGTTTATAGTTGAGCAGAAGGTATAGCTGTTATACAAACTGACCGATCAAACTCAGTTCCTTGTACGGAAAACTTTTTTGTTTGACAAGGTATCTCCACGAAATTTGATATGGATTTTTTTTAAAGGCATTGCTACAATCTCAGCCGAAGTTCACGTTTTTTCTTGTTTTTAATTAATTTTACTGTCGATGTTAGTCGTTTTACAACATACAAAAGTCTAATTTGATTTTGTATTAAAAATTAAACAATATCGCCGATAATGTAGGTTGATAGCATTCTAAATAAACGAACTCGTTTCATGATACAATTGTATAAAATGTGTGTCCGTCGGTCACCTTTTACAGTGAATATTTGGAGCAATGAAAACAATTTTAATCAAACCTGCTACCAAAAGTCATATCTCCTCATAACCTAGGGAACCTCTATGTATTTCAGATCGTATGATTTATTTAAGATGGATACCTCGAGCAATAACAAAATTAAATGAAGCAACCTAAATAACTTGACGACTTAATTAATTTGATTTTAACTAGATCACTAAAAATTAAAATTTATCATGAATTTGTCTGGAATTGTTTAACCAACAAAGATTGATTCTAGTTCTTTTATATTTTTTGGTTATTGATTCTAGTTTAATAAAATAGGTTTCTATGCACTATTTACATCAAGTGCTGTCTGTGCAGAAGAGATAAGTTAAACGAATGATTAAATGGATGTTGTGAACAAAAGAACAATGGCGTATTGGTTGAATAACGGCATAAGTACAGTATTATGCGCTTTGAGTGATTTTTTATATAGCAGCATTTATTAGGCGAAATCGCACAGAGGTTCGTAAAGGTACGAATTTCTTATAAATGATGGGATGAGTTGGGCATTCATTAAAACCACAGAAGAGATAATAGCGTGAGGAAATTTTAGTACCGATGGTTTCCTACCTACCTTTCGCACCGTTATAATTGCAACAAAGCCACGTTGGAAACAAAATCGTGCTTTGTTTACAATTTCGTGTACCTATGGCACCATCTCTTCGAATTTCATTTTGCCTATAACCTTCTCCTAACTGTGAATAATTAATCCAAACATGGTCAGAATGAAATCTAAGTAAGTTACGAACAAGCAAACAGTGATTACAAAGAAATAATGCAATATTACAGACTAACAAAGCTGTTCTAAAATATTGTGCAATAATTTTCTCTTGGATTTAGTGTTAGAAATTAATTTATTTATTTGATAATAACTTTACCGAAATATAAATTTTGTTGTCAACTAATATTTTTCTGTCGAGTTTGTAGAGCCACTGTAGTCTTATGTAAGTTTGTATGCAATATTTTTTACGCGTATATAAAATTATGTACATACATACACACATTATTTGCGTAGAGGTTATTACGCAAGTTTAACAACAACAGTTTGTGATAAAATCACCAAAAGTTTCAAAGAATTGTCGCAATATTCCCATTGCAGTTTTTGCTGTTTGTATATGTATTCCAAATGTATCTAGCTATTTATGTACATATGTATGTATGTACGTACTCGTACTTTTACAACAGTTTCATGATAATATTGGAATTCAAGAATTCCCACTATTGGCCATACCGTCAGCCGTCGTTGCTGTTCGTTTTTATATGCTGCTGCTCATCCTAGCTACAACTGTTGCCGGAAATTGTGTGACTACGCTTTTATTTTTTTTTAATATAATTTTTGCGCAATCTAATTACTACTTGTAATTCTGCAATTAGTTAAGTCCTTTATGTACATAAATGTACGTACATATAGGTATATATATATTTATCAGTGTTTGCATTGTCGTGGGAGCTGAAGAATCGTCGAAGGTTCTCGCGCCTCGCGAATTTATTTTAACAGCCGCAGTCCATATGCATAGAGCGATGTCATTGTTGGCTGATGGTCCAGTCTGCGTTGTTACAGCATTTAGTAGTTTTTTAACTTTAACTGTTAAAATTACATTTTGATTTCTTGAATTATGTAAAAATAAAACTAACAGAGTTTCCATGACACTATTCTCATAATTTCCATTTCTATATTTACAGAGTGCAATTGCGGCTGCGTTGATTCATATACATCGTTGTCCTCATACAACGGTTCTGGCGCCGCCTCCATCTGCTTAAGCAATAGCAACGAAGCTGTCGGAGTTGGTGTTATAAGCAGCACGACCGCAGTAGCAGCAACAACTGCTTCAGCGCAAACGGCATCCAGTAACTCGGAAACGCTGGCAGCGGTAGCGACAACGACGGCGACCAACAGCCTCAAGACGGCGCATACAAAAGTCGCCACGTCTGGGGGGCACGCCAACACGCAGCCCCCCAGCAAGCGCTCGAGCAGCGGTGCCGACGGTGATTACCAGCTGGTGCAACATGAGGTTCTCTATTCGCTCTCTGCTGAGTATGAGGTGTGTTGGCACGCAATGTTTTTGTTATTTTATTTACATTTTACAATTTTTTCTGTATTTTGCTTTTGTTTTATTCAGGTCTTGGAGTTTTTGGGACGTGGCACGTTCGGCCAGGTGGTTAAATGCTGGAAACGTGGCACGTCGGAGATTGTGGCTATTAAGATCTTAAAGAATCATCCGTCATATGCACGCCAGGGACAAATTGAAGTATCGATTCTATCGCGTCTTAGTCAAGAAAATGCCGACGAGTTTAACTTTGTGCGAGCTTTCGAGTGTTTCCAGCACAAGAATCACACTTGTTTGGTGTTTGAAATGCTCGAACAGAATTTATATGATTTCCTTAAGCAAAATAAGTTTTCACCGCTACCTTTGAAGTATATACGGCCCATTTTAGAGCAGGTTAGTCTAATAGAAATACACATGACTTAAAATTATACATGTTTATAGGTATAATTGTTTTTTTGTTTATACATTTACGAGTATAATATTTCTTGGGCTTTTTTTTATCTTTCACTCACTTTAGGTTTTAACGGCGTTGCTAAAATTAAAGCAACTTGGTTTAATTCATGCAGATTTAAAGCCGGAAAATATAATGTTGGTTGATCCAGTAAGGCAACCTTATAGGTAAGTAACCCAATAACGACTTTACTGTTGTACCTACTTATGCATATTTATTTTTCTCTGTTTTAAAAAATAGGGTAAAGGTTATTGATTTTGGCAGTGCGTCGCACGTCAGCAAAACGGTATGCAACACTTACTTGCAGTCCCGTTATTACCGTGCACCTGAAATTATTTTAGGTTTGCCATTTTGTGAGGCAATCGATATGTGGTCGCTGGGTTGTGTGGTGGCCGAGTTGTTCCTGGGCTGGCCCTTATATCCGGGCTCATCTGAATTCGATCAAATAAGGTAAGTTACTGATATTATCTTTTCTGTTTTAAACAATTACGTAAATAACAATTTTTGTCGCCTTAAAGGTACATATCACAGACACAGGGTCTGCCCACAGAGCACATGCTGAACAGCGCCTCGAAGACATCAAAATTTTTCTATCGTGACGTCGATTCGACCTATCCATTTTGGCGCTTAAAGACCACCGAAGAACACGAGGCAGAGACTAATACAAAAAGCAAGGAGGCACGCAAATATATATTTAACTGCTTAGATGATATTGGTCAGGTAAATGTTCCAACCGATTTGGAAGGCGGTCAATTGTTGGCCGAGAAAACGGATAGACGCGAGTTTATTGATCTGCTAAAGCGTATGCTAACCATTGATCAAGAGCGTCGCCTTACCCCTGCTGAAGCATTGAATCACTCCTTTGTACGCCTCACGCACCTAGTTGACTATGTCTATTGTAATAATGTAAAAGCGTCCGTGCAAATGATGGAAGTATGCCGTCGTGGTGATTTCCATACGTAAGTATCCAATATATTTCACTCCAGTTTTGAAAATTTAAAATTTATTGTAAATATTTATTATATTTATTTTACAAATTTATAGCGTACAGCCAGCTTCTACATTGGTTACAAATTTTGTACCCAGCACTACGGAGAATATGACGTTTACCATCAACAATCAGCTAACCAGTCAAGTGCAGCGTTTGGTGCGTGAACGACCGTTAGCCTATGAGGGTCTTTATCAAATATACGGCGGCCGTAATGTCGGTCGTCAATACACACAGGGCCGCGCCGATGCGTTCCAACATCAGTTAAATATTTTGTGTCCGTCATCTTATCAAACCATGCCTAGTCCCACCAAGCACGTGGTTGTTGGAAGCGCCACAATGCAGCCACCATTGCAAGTACGTATACATGCTGAGCTTTAGCTTTTTAAAAAATAATGAAAATAAACATTCCAAAGGTTCCTCCACAGCAGTATGTCAATGTGCCTGTGCCAGTGTCGATGGTGGAACCGGCTTCCGGACAACGCATGTTGCTAACTAATCGTGTACAAGCAAGCGGTGTGGCTTGGCCGCAGACCGGACGGCAAATGGCTTTGGTGCCTTCGTGGCAGCAGGCTCCAGCGCATTCGCTAATTGTCGATTCGGCACCATTTTTGAATGTTGAGGAGATTTATCCTAAACACCATTTGAATATACCCAGAAATGATCTCAAAAAGGAGTCGCCAGTGCAACATTTAGTGTAAGTTATTAATTTTAATGCTTTATGCTTTGTTTTGTTTTGTTTGGTTTTATAACATGACTAACTTTTTTTCCATGTGCAGCACTAAGAGCAACTCGTATCGTGTGCCTCGCCACGATAAAAAAGAAAATAATCAACTGTCACCTGTTAAGAAGCGAGTAAAAGAGAGTTCACCGCCACACCAGCAGCGCTACAACCGCGCCTCACATGTTTCGCCGCAGTACCATAGTCACCACAATTGCAACTACGGCAGCAACTACAACAGCAATGCCGGCCCAGTTATTACTTCGGCATCGTCTGGTAGTAAGGAAGAAATCATATAAAAAATATAACGTTTACATTTTGTAAATAACTTCCGTTTTCTTATTTGTAGACATTGTTAGCCAAAATAGCAACAATGGTGGTGGACACCATCATCACAGCAGCAATTCGGCTAATCAACAGCATGTCATCAGCAGCAGCAGCAGCAGCAATGGTGGTGGTGGTGGCGGCTATAGCAACAGCAATCATCACATTATCAACAATTGCAGCGGCAACAGCAGCGTTGGTGGCAATTATCACCATCAAACACATCACACACAACAGCATCAACCGGCTCAACAAGCGGTGCAACATTCGCACCAACATCACGGCGCTATTGTAAAGCAGCAGACAATTACTATTCACGACACGCCATCTCCTTCGGCTGTCATAACGATTTCGGATAGCGAGGATGAGGGCAATGATCCACCCGCCCCAGCACCTGTTGCGCCGGTAATGAAGCAACGCGCACATGCGCAGTCGCAAACGAACCCTGCTTTATTGCAGCACTCGTCATCGTCCTCGTCGTGTCGTGCCAATGGCCATCAGCATCAGGTGCAGTCGCAGCAGCAACAGCCGCAACATGTACACCATCATCACCATCAGACGCATCAGCAGGTCCAGCCGCAACCGCAGCCACAGCCACAACCACAACAGCAGCAGCAAACTCAGCCGCAGCCGCAGCATCAGCATCATACTGCTAACATCTATGGTAATACATCAACATCCACTTCAACGTCAACTAGTAGCATCACTAATCATTCAAAGGCAAAGTTATCACATGAGCCACATTCGCATACGAATTCGTATACGCATTCAAATCTAACCCATAGCGCTGATGCCAGCATCAAGTGTCAAAGTAGTTCGAACAGTAGCCATAGCCATAGCAATAGCAATAACAGTAATACCAGTAACATTAATAGCAATAGTCAAGGCGGTGGCGTACATAACCATAACAATAATAATAACAACCACAATAGTAGCAATAGCAGTAGTAACAGTAATCAATATGCCACCGCTGCCCGAAGTACAGCATCAAATGCTGTGCAGGGCGGAAGCGGAAGTGGAACTGGATTTGGTGCAGGAGCCGGAGCAGATATTGCAATGGGCGCCGCCGCGGTCGCCGCATGCTCGGCACAGCAACATGTGCAACACGCACACTCGCTTCCACACTCGCAATCGCATTCGCATCATCATCATCATAATTCTCATCATCACCATCAGACGCCGACACAGCCGCTTATACAGCCGCAATATATTGCAAGCACTCATCACCATCAACCAATGCTACAACCGCAGCCACAGCAGCAGCAATGCGGCAGCATCTCTCACAATTCCGCCTCCGTCTCCACTTCCGCAACCAACACCAATTCCAATTCTACTTCTACTTCCACCCACCACCATTACAGTAGCAACAGTAGCAGCAGCAATCATCATCATCATGTTGCTAGCAACACTTCCTCCATATCCTCAAATACGAACATTTCGTCTTCCCATCCATCCTCTAACCTATCCGCCACCAATCCCTATCCACCCATACTATCAACATCCTCGACCACCTCTTCCTCAACCACCAGCATCGCTCATCGTCACAGCAAACATGTTCAGTTAGTAATCCCATGCGTAACCGTAGGTGACAACGACACAGATGAGGTGCGCCGTCGCGGCAGTCATGCACACAGCGGTGGCAACAGTCCCAGGCAGCAACAGCACCATCAACATCAGCAACAACAACAGCAATTGCAGTCATCCTCATCGCACCATCATCATCAACAACAACAACAACAACAGCAGCAACATCAGCACCAACAACAACCACAGCATCAACAACAACAGCAACAGCAACAATATCAGCAGCCTGCTCAGCAGCAGCAACAACAACAGCCCAATATTAAATACGAACCGGGGCAATCGCAGAAAAAGCGCATCTTGGCCATGGCCCAGAATGAGTGCTACAATAATGGCGGCAACGGAGTTGGTTGCAGCGGCAGTTTAGGCAATCAAACCGCTAGTTTGCCGCATTTGCCAACCAAGCAAGAGCCAGCCGAATTCTACGAATATCCGCCACAGCAGGCCACATCAGTTGTTGTCGACAACAAGCGTTCTTCATGGGCAGCCGCAGCCACACAGGCTCCACCGGCCCACCACAAACGTGAGGTCACTTCGACGGCCTCCTCTGCCTCGGCCTATGTGCAGCATACGCCTTCAACGGCAGCAGCTGCTCCTCCGTTGGCCCATTCGAAGAGCTCATCGTCAGCAGTCGGCGGTGCAGTGGCAGTTGGTGCAGTTTCCGGCGCCGCTGCAGGCCCTCCCTCGTGGGGGGCACCACAAGTATACCATCGGCAGCAACAAACTCACACTGCTGTTCAGGTGGTTGCACCATCGGCGCAACAGCAGCAACAACCGCAACATCACCAGCATCAAGCGAATACACCAATCGGTGGCTCACCAGCCGCAGCCACTGCAGTAATGCTTCAGCCGGATATCTATGCACAGGGTGATATGTATCGACGCCCAACAGTCTTTGTGTCGCAGGCGACCCCTACGTATGCATACAATCGTGCCGCAGTGGCGCCACCCCCTGCACATAACAGCTCGAGCCGTCAGGTGAGTTTTACGTGACGCATTTGAATGTTCCCTTACTTAAGTGCTTTTATTAAATATTCAAATATTTTTTAATTGGTAAGGGGAAGCAATTCTTATCCAAGCGTTTAATAATAATATATTTTACATGTTAATATACTAGGCATCCATTTAAAAAATTTTTTTTTGTATGTAAATGCTAAAAAAAAATTTTTTTTTTTTTTTGATTTTTTCGATAGTCTGTACCTTGAAAGAGATATACTATATAAAATGTATTAAGTGTAGTCGCTCAGTTCTTCTTCTCTTGTATATTCTGAAAAGGGTATATTAAGTTTGCAACGAAGCTTGTAACACGTGGACGGAAACGTCAGGGATTTAATAAAGTATATACTTACATATATAAATATCAGCGTGACGAGCTGAGTCGAATTAACCATGTCCGTCTATATTTGTATCACCGATATCGAACGTCTGTAGCATATAGCTTGTATATAAACTGATCTATCAGACTCAAGTCTTTGTATGGAAAATTGTTACTTTAACAAGGGTTCTTTACAAAATTTCGCACAGATTATTATCCAAAGCCTAGCTGCAATCTCCCAACATATTGTTGAGATCAGACCTCTATAGCAGATAGCTGCCATTCAAACTGACTGACCAAAAACAAGTTAAAGATATTTTTATATCCTTTTATCCTATAAAAAATGCAGCTTAGTTCAGCCGAAGTTAACCGTTTTTCTTGGTTTTAACTATCGTAGGTCATTATATAGGCAATACCTTACAGATTTGTTATATATTGCATGGTTTGTTTTTTTTGTATATTCACTAATTGTGTATAAGTATATATTCTTATATGCATATATATAGCTTTCTTTCAAAAACTTTCCAAAAAAGCTTTGTTTAGGTGATAACACTAGGTGTCCTCCTTAATTAGATGGATACATTTTATTTCCAAAATAAATTATAATTGTTACAAAAATAAGTCTTGCTGCGTAAAAAAAAATGTACAAAAATTAATTTCAGTGTAGAGCACGAAGTGAGGATTGATAATTAAAAGTGCCGTTCGAAAAGCCAAGTTCTCTACTAAAGAGATTCCTTGTATATCTAAAATAAACGCTTGCTTAAATTACCGTTATTGTATTACAAAGATTATCTGTTAATTGACAGGTAATACCTTCGCATCCACTACCCGCCCATATACATTTCCCCACACAGTACAGCCAATTTGGTCCACTAAGTCCAGCACAAGTTGCCGCCAGCAAGCATGCGCATTATGCACCGACGAACATATGGTACGGTGGAGAATAAACTGGTTTAAAACACTCGAGTGAGTCCAACGAAAAGAATGAATATTTTCAATTATCACTTACCCTAAAGATTTGTACATTTCTAAATTAATATTTCTAATTTTCTTTTCTACAAACTCTTGTGTGTATGTGTTTTACTTTTTAACCATGTACATGCAGATCGTTTCTAACTGATTGTGTTGGCAGCAACGGCAGATTCACGAACACCAAATGCGATACAAAGCACGACAAACACAATTGTAACAATAACAACAGTAATAGTTTAGGCGACTTGCAGCAACATTTGCAAACAAGCACCCAACTACAACAAAAACAACAATATTTTCAATTACAAGTGTCCAGACGGAACGCGCTGAATGCTGAAAGCGAACTGGCTGCAGAAGAAACCAACACAACAACAACAACAATTGAGGATAATCAAAATTTGTCTTTTACACGCTGGTGGTTTATGCTGATGCAACAAACCATCAATTACAATTACAGCAACATATTGCAACGAACAAACGCTGCAACGGCAGCAGCAACAGCAACATCTCTACCAGCAGCATTTTTAGATGAGCTACTTGGGAACGTAGCAAATATATTTTCAAGTGAATAATTGCAACTATAAATATTAATGCGTCTACTACCACACAGGCAGCGGTAGCTAGCGCACACTACTAATACCAAATCAACGCAATTGCATATGGTAGAAAGCGTATATATGTGGAATTATATGCCACTAACTGTATATATAGTATGTAGATTTAGAAAGATGATAATACAACAAAAACTTATTCGACATGTTGCCGATGAATTTACTATTCACATAAATATGGAATACGCAGAGGAGTCTCTCAACTACATGATATCTGTATAAGTTACTTTAACTTATTAACACACATACACATTCACACACTTATAACCGCAATAAACCTGGTAATAGTTGTTTTAGATGAGCATATGTAGAGAAACAGTTATACAGCATAGTTTTTTTTTTGTGTACACGGTAAGCAAAATATTCAATATTTCATAGAGCGGAAACAAATAACTCATAGTTGAAGACACATACGCATGCACATAATGATTTTTAAATAAGAAAACTATAACATTTACATCACTTTCACATTTATTATTACTTTGAAAAAAAAAAAAAGAAAAGTGCGGCAACATGCATACATATATATACCTAATACAAATTATTCTAATTGTTCTTAACTGCAACTATTATTATATAATATGCATTACACCTATTGATATTTCGTTTATTACGTAAGTTTACAACGGCATAATTTTGTAAGACGAAAACAACTATAAGTGATTAATGTAACAATGTACTTTAAAGCAAAAGCAAAAGAAAAAGCATGGAAAATGCGCAAAACTAAAAATATGTATGTGTAAGGAATACACAGTTTAAGAAACCTACCCCTGCATATATTTAACCATACTAACTAAATTAGTTATTAAAAGCAAAAGAATTTGCTGCTTTATCATTAAGCGGCTATGTATTAGACTACATACAACAGATATACCTTACATGTAAAGGGTATAAAGGAAAAACTTCTTGCTAAAATAATTCAAAATAATAGACGGGCAAAACATTTTAGTAAAAAATGCTTAATAATTCTGAAATATAATTATACATTGATAATGAAGAATTTTTCAATAACTCAGCTAAAATTTGGTTAAACTCACATGTGTGCAGTACAGCTTTATGCGCACGCGTGTAGAAATATTTACAAAAACGCGAAACGCTCGCGTAGTTTGTGGTTAAATTAATAAAAATAATTTTAACACTGAATAAACTTGTATATTATATTTTCTATTTCGGCCAAACAAATTTCTAAATTTGTTTTGTGGCATTATTTTTTATTGTAAATTAATTTTTATTTTTAATTCAAGTTATAACAAAACTTTCACGGTATTTGCACTGAATTTATAAGCATATACAATAATAGTGTTAATTGCATATGCACATGTACAAGTATAATAAATTTATAAATAATTAGAATTTTTTTTTCTTACTTTGACAACATTACAGTTTAACGTACCATGCAATATTATAAATGCATTATATACAGGTGTATATATAATTTATTTTATTTTAACACAAAGTTTTTAAGAATAATTCAGAAGCAACGCATGTGTCAAAGCATGACACTACGAATATAATTTTAATTTATTAAAAAATTACTTTACAGCTGCTGAAACATATGCACCTAAACTTATACCCTATGGTGCAGTTTCATTCGACCTCCGCTAATTGTAGCATTAAAATTTTGTTTTCATTAAATGAAATACTTAAACAAACAGCTTAAGCTTAATTTTTGATAAATAATATTTCGTACAAATATAAATAACAAGCTTCTTGCTCAACTAAGATTTTATCGTTTTTTTTTTTTTACTGTTTTTTAAATACGCACTCAATGAAAATTATATAAGTGGAAAATTTAGTTTTCATGTTAATGTAAGAAACTTGTAATTTTTTTTATTCAATGCAGCATCAAACAAGTTCTAAATAATCGATTTCAGTTGTTTCAACAATTAAATTAATTTTTAAACTACTCGAAACAAAAGCTATACATTTACATGATTTTTTAAGTACAAAAATACAGCCAAAGCTATTGCTTTTTTTGTAAAAGACATAATTTCGATAAACCCCAATAGCAGCAACAAGAATTGCTTGAATAAATAGAAATGTAAAAAAATCAAAATTTCATATTTTTAAACAGTTTTAAATTATTCAACATCTCGAGCAGACATCGTTTGTTTCGCAACAGTTTAGCATAGCATTTTATTAAAATATATCTAAATCTAAAAACAACATTTACATACAGTTACTCTTTTGTATGAACACTGCAACTCTGTGCAATTGCTATAATAACTGTTTTTTGGAGTATTCTTTTAGTATGTACGCCTGAGGTTTTAAAAAAATGCTAAAAAACAGAAAAAAAAATAAATAAAATTGATAAATGTTACGTTTATGTAATGAAAATAATAAACGCACTCCATTTCTTAATTGCTTACAGCAATTATTTTTATGTGTTATTACATAATTTGGTGAGCGTTGATGCGCGCAAGTGATATTATAAGCTTGTGTTTAAATGTACACAGTAGCAAAAACTTAGATTTGGGTGTGTTAATGGCCACACTAACAAATCTAAGCGATTATCTAATATTTTCGTACATATGTGTATATGTCACCAATTAGTTGGCACTTATGTTCATATATATTAGTGTATATATATATGTCAATTATATATTTGCTTTATTGTAGTTGTAAGCATTATATTTCTATACATAACTGTTTACATGCGCACCTGTCGATTGATTTTTACATAATTATAAAATGTGCACTTCATGTCTACAAAAATATATACATAGAATGGATCCACATAATAGACAAGCTGTTTGGTTTAGTATTGGCATCATTCGCTTGATTTACTTTTAAGCGCTTGATTTATTTAGCCTTTACTACGCTATTTACGCAAAGATACGTAAACAAATGTATGGAATTATATATTATATTAATAACATTAATCTATGTTAAACACTATTCGCGTTTACTTATGAAACATGCATAATTAATTTAAGTTTGTAAATTTAAAAAAAATCTAACCCAAACGCGATTTTTTAGTAACGACTGACTGCAGTTTAAAGAAATATTTTCTACGCATGCGCAGGGATTTCGTCAAATAAGTGGGTTACTAATTTAAAAAAATTCAAGAAGAGTGTATACTGAAAAGACTCTAAATAAAACTAGAAATTGCGATTATAACCTTTATAGGAATACCTGTAAGTTATTATATTTATTCTTAAACTTATGCATGAATACCAAAATTTTCTAAACGGCATAAAAAATAATATGCATTTTTTTTATTTAATTTTTGACTATTTTTTGGTAAAAAACAACAACTCATTTTTATAATTGCAATCAGCCTGAGAAATTCGGCAACAGCAAAAATAAGACATAAATCTAATTTTTGTACTAACACTATTTACATATGTATATATGGCATGTGGGGTATATATTGCCAAAACAGTACACATATAATCAATGAACTATATAAATTACTAAAAATTAATGATTTTTTTCAACACACACGCATTAATGTTGTGTTAGTGGTAAAGTAATATTCTCTTTTTACTAGCTTATTCGCAAATTTAGTAAGTAATATTAAATGAATTTCATACTAGTACTAGTGTTTTAAGAGACGCGATGTCGAAACAAAGGAGCAAACAAAGTTAAACACGTAAGTACGGTGTAAGAACACTGTGCAACGCATATGTGAAATGAAAAAAAAAGCACGAAAGATTTAAGCAAAGCAAAAATGAAATCTGCTAGTAGGCATAAATACACAAATATGTGAAACTAAATAATAATAAAACACAACAATAATAAAAACATAAATAGACATTTAGCTTATAATTATTGTGATGTAGTTTTTAAATGGTTATACACATACAAACAAACATATGAAGTATATGGTAAATACAAATTACGTTAAAGATACACATACAAACAAATTAACATAAATAATATGAATAAGCAACAATAAACTTATATATAGACATACATATATATATATATATATATAAATTACGTAGAAACAAAACCTTTATATACATTTTTATTGAAATAAATTTAGTGTTAGTGCAACTCTTATACAAAAAACAAAAACAAGCGAAAAGCGTAAAAATATTTCTACCTAACCCGTATAACAAATACAAATTAAGCAAACATAAAATACTTACAACTCACCACTTGATGAAAATTCAACTTTGCAAAAATATGATACGCATATACAAAACTAATAGTTTAAAGTTTATATTCTACTAAAATAATTTGTTTCTACTGTGTGTAAGAATTAGACGCACGTGACTGTAGGCAGCGGAAATGTGGTGTTGAGCTTTTTTTTCCTGAAAATATCTTTTTTTTTACTGCAAAATATGAAAAATAGGAGCCGTGAGCAGCTTACTCAGCTTTCATTTCCAGTTTTTCAATTTTGTGTTGACGGTTTGGTTTGGCTGGACCCACTGCGTACACAAACTCAAGAACTGATTGTGGATCAAGCGTTAATTACAATGTAATTCTTGTGGAAGTGGAAGCAAGTGGAGAAGTGTGCTGAGCGCATTCGGATAATAGTTAATATTTTAAAAGCGGGTAAAATGGCGCCAGCTGCTTTTTTTTTGGTGTGAATGGTATTTTTATAGCATCCTTAAGTCTACACTCGTTGTTTTACCATTGATGCGACGCATATATGTATATGTGTGCGAAGCATCCGCGCTATCAGTGTACTAGTCTTTTGCGGGAGACTTACAATTACATTTTGTTTAACAAAACAGCGGTTTTTTTTTTTTACATATTTGCTGTCCACAGTTCAGTGCGAATTCAACTAATCTAAATTCAAATTAATGTTTATGTAAAAAATGGACTAACAAGATGAAAAACAAATAACAAATAACACTAAAACGCAAAAGGAATAGGGAATCATTACAAATGTAACTAAAATTTGAATTTACTTGTAGGTATAATTGAAAATTAGGGTTATGCGAATATTGATGGAAAAAATATAAAAACAAAAATAAAAAACAAATAAATTTTATGTAATTAAATGTGTTGTGAATGACCTTGTGTTAAACTGCTACAGCTCTGGCGATGATACATTTGTGTAAAGTCAACGCGTCGCAGCCAGTTGGCGGGCGCACACGATTTTATAGGCTATCATTTCCTCTAAATATATTACACGATTAAATATTAATATAAAAGGAAAACCTTAATAGCTGTTTAAAGTAGAATTACGTAAGCTGCATTGGCACACAAATGCGTTTAAAAGTATATTTCAATATTACCACGCTGAGTGAATTAAGTTTTACACACAATCTAGATGTTTAGGAGGCAACATTTTTTAAATCCTTGCTCCAGTTTAAAAAGTAGTTTTGTAAAGTTTTGAATTGAATTTTTTCCTTTTCTAATGCAAACAGTAAGCGTAGAATTGAAGCAGACGAAGACACCAGAAATAACAAAGTGCTGCAGTTGAAAAAAAACCAAAACAATTTAAATGAAATCAAAGATAAAACATTGACTTTCTGCATTATAATATGTCATAAATGTTTTTTAATAACTCTAGATAATTAAGGCAATGTTAGAACTACACAACACAAATTAAACGCATTTCAAAATCCTGTATTTAAAAATTTTTGTGTGCTAAAAATAAATTCAATTTGGTTCACGTGTGAAGTTAAAAGGAGATTAAATTAACAAATACAGTTTGTAGAATGGCTGCGAAAATACTTTAAATTTATAGATTTTATAAAATGTGCGCAATTTGACACTAAAGCATTGTATTTAAGGTTTTAAGGTTTAAATGTAGTCACTGGAATTTCAAAAAAAAATTGTAGTATTAAAGTTTCCTATTGCTTAGCACATTGTATAAAAATTGCTTACATTGAAAAAGCTAAATTTGTTTTTGTTTTTTACTTTATTGCGTATTTTGAAATTTTTAGCAAACATTAGCCTTGAAACTTCTCAGTGTATGTTCTCAACGCTGAAACAACCAAGCGTAACATTAAATGCAACAATTGCTCTGTAAAAATATGTGTGTATGTGGCAGCAGGATGTTAATTGTATATGTATAAAAAAAAAAAATATTTTTAATAATATGATTTTTTTTAATAATTTTTTTTAAATCCTTTATTTTTTTAATATATATATATTTTTTCATTATAAATAATATATTTGTATATTAAAATATACTTTGCTAAAAACTAGAATTGAGAAAAACATATTCAAAATAATTAATGAAAATCTTCGAAACTAACTATATACCAATATCTAAACACAATGTAATAATTTAAGTTCTATCTTGTTACGTAAAACAAATTATAGCAATTTGCAGTTAAGCCAATCTATTATTCTTATTATTATTAACTGTAGCATGTAGTGCGCTTTTGATATTTGTATACTACTATGTTTATATTACCATAATTACATTAATTATCTATTAT